AGTCTCTCCAAGGTCCTCGGTGTCTTTGCTCCCTCGGCCTTCAGTCTTATTTCTGCTGGCAAAAGTCTGACCCTTGACACAGCCAGCTCTACACCCTTTCCTCCCATCCCGGCTGCTGTCCCGGCCGGTCCGCGGGGCTGTGGCACTCCCCTCTCTCCTCTGCCGGGTCGCGTGCGTTCTCTCCAGCGGGCCATTTGAACCTCCTTCTGGACCCCCACCCACCTCCCTTCTCCTCCCTCAACCTCGGCTGGCATCCTTACCTGCTGGGTCCCACAAATGGAAAAGATTCAGCTGCTTGCCAGCCGAAATTTGCCATGCCTCAAAACGTAATGGTAGTAGTTTGGTTTTTTTTTTTTTTTAATGTTTATTTATTTTTGAGAGAGAGAGAGAGAGAGAGAGAGAGAGACAGACAGACAGACACAGAGTCCGAAGCAGGCTCCAGGCTCTGAGCTGTCAGCACAGAACCTGACGCGGGGCTTGAACCCACAGACCACGAGATCGTGACCTGAGCCGAAGTTGGACGCTCAACCGACTGAGCCACCCAGGTGCCCCAAAATGTAATGGTATTAGTATCTTTGCTGACTCTTCTCCTGTTACCACGAAAGGGCCGTGCTCTGGACTTGTGTCCTATGGAGTGTCTTCTCTCCTGTAACTTCATCCTCTCTGCTTCTAAGGATGCTCAAGGCTGCCTCATCTTTAGAAAGATGACGTTCATACACCCTTCTAGCCCCATGTCCCCTGTGCTGTCCTGGTCAAAGGTGTGTTGCTGTCACTCAGCTTCTTGACCCTGGGACCCGCACCTTATTCATGGCACATACGACCAGTAAAATTGAGTAAAAGGCCATGGTCCCTGACCTTTCCTCCAGGGTGACGTAAACAGATTCCAAGCAAGTTGCCAAGTTTGGAACCCTCACGTAGGTTCCGAGAAACGAACGTCGACCTTTTTCTTATGCAAGGCTTCTTTATCCTGGTTCCTACTCATACATCCTTTTGAGCGAAAATGCCAGTGATGGACGAATCAAGACGGCGTGGACGTGTCGTTACTAGATTTACTCCCCACGCAGCAGGGTTTCAAAGGCGGAGAAGCTCTCCGTGATGTCAGTTCAGGATGTGGCCACGGGCTGAGCTGCGGTGTCCGTGGGCACACGCAGAGCCCAGGGCCGGTGAGGTAAAGCGTAGCCAGGGGAGGCCCACATGTGGTCTGACCTGTTTTGTGCTGGGAGGAGTCTGGAGAGGACTTCGGGATGGGCCGTGCGGCAAGAAGCCTCATTTGTCGGCCATTCAGGGTTGCATGTGGATCACTGTTTCCTCCCTCCTCCCTAAGCCACCTCACGTTTGACGTTTTTGCTGGTGGGGTCAACCACCCATGACCTCTTCCTGTAACAGCCTTCTCATGAGCACACGCTCAGTTCTCCTGCTGGGACCTTTTCCCTGTGTCAGCAGATGGGAGAGAAAATGCATCGCGTGGTTCCGTGAAATAAGCCATCTTGGTTGATCTTACATGATTTTATACATTAATTTAAGATATAAAAAGGGACGACTGTGGGATCTCCTGTGGAAGCCTGTGGCTGCCATATAGTTGGGGTAAATTCATGTCCGTGAGTGTTCCGTGTTCTAGGCGATGTCCTCAGAAACACGGTCTCATGGCCCCGGTTCTGCCTGTATTCCCGACACTTCGGTTGTGGGAAGTGGCATTCTCCCGGTGTGCTGGGGCATAAAGACGCCTGTGTGATGTACACATCATCGTCCACGAGAGGAGTGTGTCTCTTCCTTCGTTTGAAGCACGTTTTCTCTCCTCAGCTTTCCGCGTGTGTGTTGGCGAACATCTCCAGTGTTTTGGGGATTGAATGTGACCTTACGGGAAGTTTCCTCTTCGCAGGGATCTTTGGCAGGTGCTCGTGACAGATGTGCATCTTCAAATGAAACGGTGATCCGTGGTGCTTTAAAACTGGAGGACTCACGGGCAAGGGAGACATTATTTTCCCATAACTCCCTAATGGCAGAAATTTTGTGCAAGGTGCCTCCCATGATTAACTTCAGGTCTTCCAACTTTTCCTTTTCCCCAGTTGCCTGGAACATAAAAAAAAAAAAAAAAAAAAAAAAGGATTGGTGCTCTGCTGATTAGACCAGTGCCTGAAATGAAGGAGCATATTTTGGAAGGCCTGGGATGGATGGTTTAATGCTTTAGCAGGAGTCCGTCCTGTGCACAGCTTCAGGACTGAGGGACAAATCAGAAAGATCATTTAGGGGGTGCCTGGGTGGCTCAGTCGGGCATCTGACTTCAGCTCAGGTCATGATACCACATTCCATGAGTTCGAGCCCCGCGTCGGGCTCTGTGCTGACAGCTCGGAGCCTGGGGCCTGCTTCGGATTCCATGTCTCCCTCTCTCTGCCCCTTTTCTGCTCAGGGAAACAAGTCAGGGAGGCACATTGTGGCTGAAGACAGCAGACCAGTTGCACTTACTGGCTTCCTTCCCCCTGTGAGGGACATTGGATTTCTCTTCCCCACTTTTGACATTGAGTTTGAAGGTATTGGGAAAGAGTTAAGATGAAAATAGTTGTTGCGAGTCAGAGACTGGCCCTGTGCTGAGCTCGGCACTCGTCAGCCACGTGACTGAGAAGGGCGCTGGTCTTCCCCCATCAGACACACTGGGGAGGTCGGACAGGCTTCTGTGTTACAGGGCTCCTCGAGCCTTTACTAGGGTGTATGTGCGTGGTGAGCCTCTTCCTCACCCCTCCACCCCGCCACTGCGTTTCCCAAAGGGTTTTGATCACGCACTCTTTTTCCCACGTATGCAAGTGAAAACACTTGGTGTGTCCCTAGCTTTCTGTTGCTTTCTAGATCTGGACTTGCTGTCTCTGCGTGAGTTTCAGGGGGTCTGGATTTAGATGCCTCATTAGAGGAGTACAGACAGACAGATGGCTAGAGAGATAGGTATGTTTGTTTTTTCTGGGTGTTACTCGAAGTTCTGTAACCCCCGTAAAAGGCAAGAGCCCGAGGAAGGAAGCCCGAGGTTTCTCTGGGAGTGCATTTTTAAATTCTGTAAAGAACCTGACAGCAGACACTGTCTCTGCAAGTTCTGGATCCGGTCCGGGTATTCCTGGGTGTCAAGGTGCTTACGGTTGTCCCACACTGGAGTCTGGAGTTCATCCAAATGAACGAGCCAGGGTTGCCCAGCTGCACAGCATAAAGGAGTCAAGACCTCCGTGTCAGACAGACCTGGGCGTGTTTCCGGCCAGCTACTCAGTGGCCTTGGGTACCTCTCCTCCCTTCCGGGGGCGTGCTTATCTAGGAAATGAAGGGTTAGGCTAGGACAATGCAGAGAGATTCTAGGCGTCTCACGGCTTCTGTTTCACGTGGCAGGAGCTGATAGGACCCTGGACTCCCTTGCCGCTGCCCATTTTCCTCTGGCTTATTCTATAGAGGGCATGGCTTATCCCAGAGGGTGCTGTGAGTCCTGACAGTAAGGCCCCACTGAGGCCCGGGGGCCACTGCCCCAGGGCCCGGGGTCTTTGACAGCTTTGGTCTTCTTTGGAGCTGTCCAGGTCCTGTGTCTGCTTGGAGCCCTCCCCGGTGGGGGCAGCGGAGCCAGAAATCCGTATAAAGCAATTTGCACGAGAAGACCGGGAACACGTTGCGGGTGGGGATGTGTAAGAAGCAGCCTGTTGCTAATTGATGGCGGTCTCTCCCACTGAGCCCCAGTGCACCTTGGAGTCCTTAACCCGGTGCTCTGAAGTCCCCGACCGGTGGAGTCTGGGCAGGAGAGATGACCTTGGTGCCGTCCTGAGTGGGGTGGTTAAAGTATGTGTTCGGAGTCTGCCAGGTTTAACTGCCACACGACCATTTGAAACTCTTTGATCTCGGGCGGTTTACCTTGGATTGCATTCTACCTAGAAGTCCTTGAGAAGGACGCTTAGCTCTTCTGTGCCCGAGTTTCCCGCTCTGTGAAATCGGGCTCGTGGCAGCGACAACCTCAAAGGGCGGTGGGCTGGTAAACGCAGGACAGTGTGTGTAGAATGCTTGGGGCAGAGCCAGGCCCTGAGAGTCCAAGGACATGGGCCCTGGCTGTGCCCCTTGTGGTGGTGGCCACTCTTAGCCCCGTCCCCTGGGGCGCAAGGCATGTCGTCAGGGTGTTCCAGCTGGATGGGGGGGAAACGGGTCTAAATGGCCTTCCAGGTGTAAGTCTGGCCCTTGGGTTCCGGAGTGGTTCTGGAGCCCGTGGTCTCTCTAATTGTGATCTGGCGTGACATGTCTGTGCCCTGAGGTGACTTATCGTCCTGGCCTGTCTGGAACTGACTTAGGGGTGTTAATGGGATGTGGGACTGACTTGGGGTTTGATAGAACAGGGACTTTCAGGGCTTGGGACAAATCGCATGGTCATCACCCTCCTAAAAGCTGAATGGTCTTCTTCCTCGTGAGGCCTCAAGGGGGTGATCCGCGTGTGCACGTGGCACGTAGCGCACCGCTCGACGCGTCGTGACTCCCTGGATTTGCGTGTCTAAGTCTCAGATTCACACCCTGCTCTCTGCGAGCTTGTAGGGAAGCCGTGGCCACGTGCTTTGTGTCTTTTTGAGTCTGCATTTCCTGTTTGGGCCCCTCTTGACCAGCTTTTACATCCAGGCGTTGTTTTCTGCCGGTCTCGACTTCCAACCTGTAGAGCGAATGTGGTAATAATGTTCACCTCACGGGGCCCTGCTGAGGGTTCGGTAACGTGGGATTGCGCGTCCTGAGGCACGTCTAGCACAGTGCCTGGCTCACAGAAGCCCTTAGTAAGTGGCCCCTTCTAGAACAACGAAGTCCGGCAACGTTAGGGAGAGATGCCCCTTGGGATCGGAGGTCCGTCGGTGGGAACCCCCACGTCGGGGCAATGGTGGTGGGTCGACCTGTTTGGCTTCTTTAGCTCTATTGTGTCTCCCGGCCCCTTTCTCATTGTGAATGCCTGGGAGGGAGCGCTGTGTGCCCGCACGACGGAAAATGTGTGTTTTCTGGCTCTGTTGTAGGTGGTGAGGACTACCTGATTAACCTCATAGACTCTCCAGGACACGTGGACTTCTCCTCCGAGGTGTCCACGGCCGTGCGCGTGTGTGACGGCTGCATCATCGTGGTCGATGCTGTGGAAGGAGTCTGCCCACAGGTAGGAGGTCCTGATGTGGGGCTCGGTCACTGGATGAGGAGGGCGGGGACGGGGGGAGGGACTCCGCAAGGATGGCTCTGTGCCATTCTGGACATTCTGCTGATGGAAAGTTGGCTGTACGTTTCATTCGAGAACGTTCTGTGATGGAGTCAGTCACCCACATCTTGAAGGGATCATAGCGACGATGACCGTCCCTTTCAGTACTTGGCAGTGTCTACGATGCCCTCTCAGAGAGGATCCGGCCAAGTCTGGGGGTGTTGAACTTGAGGAGGATTCTCATGAGAGGTCGTCGATGGCAAGAGGCCAATCCAGTTGTCCCCCGCGTGAGATTCTCTTCTGTGGGCTTCTTGGGCTGTGGTTCCACCCCTGCCACCTCCCCCCCCCCCCCCGCACCTCTCCCTCTCCCCCCGCCTCAGTGGGAAAGGAGGGGGTGTGTGGTGGGAGCTCTCCAGGCTTGGTTCTTATAAGGCCTTGTTTGGAGGCCTTACGTTTTATCTTAAAAAACGCCGTCACCTTTGTATCCTACTTCTTAACATACCCTCGTACGTTTTACTATTAAAAAACGTATTTTTTTGGGGGGCGCCTGGGTGGCTCAGTCGGTTGAGCGTCCGACTTCGGCTGAGGTCACAATCTCGTGGTCTGTGAGTTCAAGCCCCTCGTTGGGCCCTGTGCTGACGGCTCAGAGCCTGGAGCCTGCTTCGGATTCTGTCTCCCTCTCTCTCTGCCCCTCCCCTGCTCATGGTCTGTCTCTGTCTGTCACAAAAATAAATAAAACATTAAAAAAAATTTTTTTTTAAGTTTATTATTTTTGAGACAGTGTGCAAGCAGGGGAGGGGTGGAGAGAGGGAGACACAGAATCCAAGGAGGCTCCAGGCTCTGAGCCGTCAGCACAGAGCCCAACACGGGGCTCGAACTCACAGACCGTGAGATTGTGACCTGAGCCCAAGTCAGACGCTTAACCGACTGAGCCATCCAGGCACCCCAATATTTTTAAAAAAGGATAATAAAAGGTTTAAATTACTCAGATGGAGGAGATTTGATAATTGCAAGAAGTTGTGCTGTAATTGTGCTGTTGCTTCCCCTCTGAGCCCTGAGGGCTCAGGTCCCCCAACTTGCGAGACAGAGCCTTCATCTCTGTCCTGAAAGGATGGTGGTGTTAATGCACCTGACTTCAGAATAGCAGAGCAGCGGTTTGCT